AAAAAAAAAAAAAAAAAAAAACGAGCATGTTTGGGTACAGAGGGCTATTTATAGATCAAACAGATGACTCCTAGCTGAAAGTTGCCAGAAACGAGATTTAACTCTGAAACAAATCGTTGCTTGATTAAGATTGTACTGTCTCTTTCAAATCTGAGAATTTGAGAAGGGCATTGTGGCGCAATAAGAAGAACATTTGGGGAAAATAAAAGAAAACTTTGTTGGAACGTGAGTGATACGTCAAATAGAAAATTTTAAAAACAAAGTTCAGAATTTCATCTTGTTTTAAATCAGATTTTAAAATTAAAATTTTAAAGATTTTTCTTATTGTTTACTGAATGAATTATATCGCTATCAAATCTCTTCATATATTTGTTTACGTATTCGTTTTTTGCATACCTCTTGACTATAACTGTTACAAACACACTGATTAATAGTGGAAGCAGATGCCAATTGCTTGTCAGAAGTAAATTTTCAGTTTTAGTAATTCCAATGAATAGAAATAAAACCTTTTTTTCTTACAGTATTTGTCTACGAAGTATACTACGAATTCATAAATTAATAGCATTATTGGAAATAATTTTATATCACTAGTTTTCTTCAAAAATTTAAAATTTAAAAAATATCTTTCTTCTTATATTTCTTCTTGAAATAGTGAATAAAACAATTAAATATGCTATTAAATATTCTTGCAAAAGGCAAGAAATAATTTTGTAAAGGGTTTTTTAAAACATGACTTAGGAACTATTTGTTTTTGTTTTACCCGGTAGCAAAGCTCTTTTTAATCTGCTTTATTGAGATGCACAGGTTTAAAAATACGACAAAGTTTTCAATTTCGTTGAGTTGCTATTCGCATCCAAAAAAAATTTTTTTTAAATTTTTAAAGTTTTTTTGGTTATTTAGATCTTTTTCCAACTTTTTACCACTTCTCTTTTATTTATTTGTCGCACTGCTTATGGTTCAACCTTTCTGGTAGATGCTCTGACAATTGTGGAAATGCGTGATGCGGGTATCTGTTCCAAAAAAAACCGAATATCGTTCACTTTTTGAAATGCTAATGATAAAGATAGCGCGGTTGGCAATTTCAGCTAGCAAAAATCATAAATTTACTATTCGCAGTAGCTATTGTTGTAAAATCAGTCTTTACAATTGTTTTACTAAAAAGCAGTAAGCAGTTTGAATAGTCACTAAAAAACTTGAATCTAATTTTTGTTGAGAAGCTGTGAAAATTATTTTGAATCAGACGATTGTGGTTGATTGTGGTAGTGCAGAGTTTGAAACTTTATTAAGTCGTAATGTTGCAATACCAACTTAAGATTTATTATTGACGATTTTCAACCCTTAGCAGCTTTCACTTTTTTTACATTCAATTACTGTATGCTTTTTTGACCAATTCTATGAATTCTTTGTTTTTGTAGCTAAATCAGCAAAATAATAGGCAATTTAGCAAAGCAAGTGATCAAAAAGAATAAATAAAGACAAGATTAACAGAAAGAAGTTTTGACCTCACAGAAAACACAAGTGTCTTTTGCTTTGGATCAGCATTACTGATAGAAATGTTCTATGTTCTGTAGTCTTTTGCTTCTGAAGACCAGGGTTAACAAGGACATTTACAAACCGTCTCACGATCATTGCCTACGTTCAGGGCCAACTAGAGAACTTCTTACCCTCCGACTGCCAAATACTTGTTAGCAAGCCTGAGCAATTTGTTCATTATTTATAAACGTATAAATCTGCTATTGTAATCACTGTGTTTCTAATGCTATTTACAAACAGTTAATTTATTTATAATAATTTGAGAAAAACACTTGGTACAAAATTATGGTAAATCAAATTTAAGAACTTTTTCTCGATAACTTCTACAAGTCCAAAATCAAATACTGTAACCTTTACATGTTAGATTTCCATACGGCACTAGTCTGTTGTGGCTGTGTTAAAAAAATTTAATTTTTTCTGAATTGAATTTGCAAATAATGATGAAGGATTTACCGCTTGAATTTTTATTACAACCAGTACTCGTTTGGGAGTACATTTGACAGCTAACAGAAAATTGAAAGAACGAGTAAGAAAGACCTTTTGTGAACAAATTTCGCGACAGTTACCTTTGTAATAAAGTGCAGTCGGTGCAGATATTTAACAGAAAAAAATTTACTGTAGGTATGGCAGCTTAAGTATTGTCTGTAAATAGATTTCATCGGTTTACCGTTGCTCTCACTTCACATGTGTTCGTTAAAGCAAGAATGAGAAATCTATGTGACTGTTAGTGCATTCACAGTTGTAAAACTAGGATCGCAAAAAGTGAAAATTACGCCGATGACATAATGCACAACGTTGTGCACATTTCTTATTGTGTCGCATTAATCTGTTGCACGGCAACCCACATTTAAAATATGGATCATGTTTAAAAAGTACTTACTGATTACGAATCGGCTGCAATGACCAACATCGAAATACAAACAATCTGTTTTCTGCACACAAGAGATCTTTATGAAATAAGCAATTCAATGCTTGTCTCTAAAAGACAACGAATTTGAAGATTCCAACTACGACGATGTCAACGTGTGGGCGTACTCTACGCAGATCTGTGAGGTGACGAACTAGACTATCTGTTGGTACCACTGCGTTCTATAACAAAGCTGCAGAGTAGTCTTCCTGACCAGACAAATATGATTTACCTTAGAGCTCAAAACTGGCATAATCAGCTATAAAAAGCGATATAAATAAATACTGCGAGTACTAAATATAGAGTCTCACTCAGATAAATGATTTGGCTTGACGACGAGTGAAGCTGAAAATCATTCATTTCGTTGCAGTTTCTTTTGGGAATCAGTACAGTCGCGTTCTTTGCTGCCTACCCTGGGCAAAGGTTTTTGTTCCTCTGGATTAAAGTTCTAAATTTAGCCATTGTGGCGTAAGATACATTTCGTTAGAAAAGAGCGAGTAAGAATAAGACATTAATATCCATTTCTAAAGCCTTAATTTTTGGACTGGAATAGTTGCTTGAAACACTGGAATTTTGATCAACAACAGTTTGAATGTCATTAACCAGAACTTTATGCAGTCATTTTTACTTCCTTGGAAAATTTGGGCAGCTTAATCTAGCCCGAAACATAAAATCGCGAGATTGCAGCTATCATTCTGATATTATCTCAGAAAAGCGTACGATAACGGATGGCGGAAAAATGATGAATCAAGTGAATACAAGAAAGATTTACGTTTGCTATAAATATAAAAATATCATTAAGAAAACTTAGAACTTTAGGCTGAGAATTAATAATAAACCAAAATTTAGAATTGGAAAATGATATTGGATCTATATTTACGTGATTTCTTCTTGCTTATGAAATCATCCGGCAAGCGTGGCATGAATGATAAAAAACAAATGCATTTTCTTCTTTAGGTATTTATTTATTCGCTGACAAAACGGTATAGTCATTGATGCCATTAGGAATATTTGTTGATTATAACAAAATAAAAAGAATGTCGTGATAATTAGAAAATTTCTAGACGAACATAACTATACGACAAATGGAACCGCAAATGTGCAAGAAGAAGCACTAGTGTTAACAAATGGCTGTTGTCACTGTCGTTGCTTATGTCGTTTTTGGTTGTTTTTAGTTTGATATCACAAGTAAAGAAGTAAATGGAATAGACAGACATGAATGGTTTGCTATAAGATATCTCAATTTGATGTTTGAGGTGGCTGTAGAAAAAGACGGTTCTTTTGAATTCCTTAGGAAGCCGCCAACTGGTGTTAAAACAGAAAGAATCTTGTTTCACAGAAGCTGATTGTAAGCTTCCCTTTTGTGAAATCAGTACTGTTTGGGAGATAATGTGCGGCCAGCTGCAATTTATTTGTTTTCAGTAAGGAATTTTAGTAGCTGCTTAATGTTAAATATAATTCTGTTTACATACAATAAATCTGCTACTTCTGGTATCTTCGAGAACTACTGAGGCGAAATATTTCCAATGATAATATGCCACTGTTAACGTAGTATCCAAGACTTGAAGTATAATGTCAAGATAATATATTCCTTATACACAAGTCAAATTTACACAGTAAAATTTTGGGTATTTTGAGTGAAGTATCAATTACGCTACGCCAGCCGACAACATCGCTGGATTGTATGCAAATATAATGTGTACACTGGTGAGAACATGTAGATGGATGCTCATGTGGCATTTATATAGGCAAGGCACATATTTTGTAAAATATAATGACAATATGCACTCCGCCTTGCACGGTAAAATAATTCTTGGAGAGCACAGAACAGTGGTACTAAACGCAGTAACTATTTTGAAAATAATGTGGTGTTAAAGAAGTGTTGCCTTTTAGATCCTGTTTTTATAGAAAACTGGCTCACTTAGGACTGGTACTACAACGGAAAATATATTGACGGCATAACTATGCATTCAATTCGAAGAAGTTTGCTAAGTCTTTCAGCGATTTTGACAGTCTGAAATTCGAGGAGACTTTACCGTAAAAGACAATGAGAAGCCAAATAAGAACTGCACGACTAGAATAAAGTTACAATGCGTCCTCAACAAAACTAATTTTGCTGCAAAGCTTACAAATTTAAAGAAACATTCTAATTAGATATTCTTATTCATTTCAACAACACATTCTAATTTGAGCAACTAAAAACTTTTAGACGAAACAATTGGTCTATTGCAGGAAGTCGTTAAGCACGCTAGAAATATTTTTATAACGGTGAAAAAGTTTGGGGTATTTTCAAAAAGGCTGTGCTGTAATTTGCTAGACAATGTCGATAACTTTTGTAAGCATCTTCTAGTTACGATCCTGGTGTTGTGCTTTGCATAATAGTAAAAAAAGCTAGATTTTTAGTGCAAATAAGTTCTTAAATGAACTTTGTGGAAATTTACCTAAGAAGGCATACAAATTGCTATAAAAGTATAGAATGCCGGGTCAGCTGCTGATTCCAACAAGCCGATGATGTCTTGTCATGTAGATGATCGCAAACATTTGTTAAAGCCGACGGTTTATTGTATATTCAGCAAAATATTCTAACAGGTAGAAGACAAAATTTGAGATTACTACTAATGTTATTACTTTTAACTAATACCGTTATCGCTGGTACTACTATCATTCATTATCAGTTTTGGTAAATTTCTTAATATTATTCTAATACACCACCAACGAGACTTGTTCAAACAAAATAAGCTTAATATTTTAGGACATAGCCATCACCATGACGATTCATAAAAATAGCAAGAAGGATTCTCAGTTTTTTTTGCTGTGTTAGCTTTCTTTCCGTTCTGAGTGCTACTAGCCTAATTTTCAACTTAGAACGCTTGGTGATGCAATTAATGTGCTGAGGGTTAGGTTACTTGCAATTAATGGTGATAACACATGTGGACTGAAAACAAGGGCGAAAAGTAACTGTGGCGAACAAACGAGTGGAGATAAGACAAACGGACTCAACACTAGTGGAGAAAGGGCCATGGGGTTTAGAATCAAGGGGTTAAGTACCATAGGAGACAGAATAAGCGGAGTACCAACTTGTGGAGAAAGAATAAAAGGCGCCAGAACGAGCGGTGATAAGACGAACGGGTTAAAGACACCAGGAGAAAGAACAAATGGGTGCAGCACTAATGGTGATAAAACTACAGGCGAAAAAAGTAATGGATTTAGAATTAAAGGAGATAAAACACGAGGTGAAAGAATGACAGGTATGAACAGCCACGGACTCAATATAAATGGTCCTAACACAGCTGGCGATAGTACTACTGGTGAAAAAAGAACAGGTGAAAGAACTATCGCCTGAGAAACAACGTCTGGTTTAAGAGTTAGATCTTGGAACAGTAGTGGGGTCAAAGCTATCGTTCGTTTCTGTCTTTTTTGTTCTCTTACTTGCAGTTTCAAATTTTCATGCTTTGAGAATACAGATATGTCATGCTCTACATGTCTCTGGAGTTCGTCTAAACTCTTAATGGACGCGAGCTTCTTCAGTGTACTCTCTGATGCGTAAGGTGAATCCTTGCCATAGAGAAGATGAAGTTGTTCTTTGTTCATAACAGAGTATCCACTTGAATTCATTTCCTTGATCTGAAATTATCACTGAATCTTTGGTAATACGAATAAATCATTATTTCGTTTCCAGCAACAGATAAACAATAATGATTATTTTCATACGACATCTTTGAAGTAAAACCTGTTGAGCATTTAGGCTTTTATGAAGGCGTTCAAAAGTTTCAATTCTTCTGCGTCCGTCTTCCCCGTATATTTCAGTGGCGTTTTCTTTCGTAAAATACATCGGTTGTCCGTCAATTCCTTTTATATCTTTTACTTCTGGTTTCTTCTCAAGTTCTTTCAACTTCTAAAAAGTGTTCATCCCGGCTTACGCTTATTTAGCAGTTCGAAGCAGAACAATAGATTAAGACTAACTTTAGCATTTTCTACTGCATCTGCAACACCAGTAGCCTCAGCAATTAGGTCTATCATCTGTTCATGGTCTTGTTTTTGCAGTACTTTGCTGTTTTTAAGCAGATGCGGAATGCTAAATCTTTTTTCATCTTCTTTACCTTCGTCATGCAAACTGAATAATGACGGTGACAAGAGGTTGATCTGGAATTTTCAATACACTGATTTTTTTGGAAGGCTGCAATGAACAGTTCGCTCGAAATTTTTCAACAGACAAAAAGAAAGCCTAATTGTACTTAAGTGTTTGTTGGAATACTCTCGTCTGAAACAGTCAACTAACATTGTCGTCACCGTCGTCAGGAACGACCGAGAAGAATCGCGGTGAGGCAAATTTAACCGTTTTCTTATCATAGTCAGTTGTATTCTGACCAGCAATCGCCATTCCTAATTTGAGAGCGTTCCGGACTAAGAATGGCGTATTCAGCGGGTCTTTTTCACGCATTTTTTGGTACTGTAAAGTGTTTGGCACCAAAGACATCATGTGGAAAGTTTCATTTCCCTAGAAAGCTGACCTTCACTTGAGTTCTTGAATGTAAGGTCAAAAGTTTTTTCGGCTCAGCAAAATTCCTCATGCAGAATTAGTGCAACAAAATGACTAATTGGAAGATAAAAACCACACGCGTTTTTTGCAGCTTCTCTCAAGAAAACCTATTTTTATTGTCTATTTTGCAGTTTTCGTAACGCTTTATAAGCTTTTTGATTGTTAAAAGTTGGTCAGCTTTTATTCAGTAGAGTTCAAGAAGGAAGTTTTTAGCGTCTGACTGTTAAAAATAACTTATCAGGTGTTCTAAAATTTGGCTGTTAACCATAATGAATAAAAGTTGCCTACTTCGTTTTTACGGAACTTCTGTTTTGAATCAAAAATATAGCGAGAATACGGAGATTCTGATGGGTCGTCTTTATCATGGAGTAGCTTTTCAAGTTGTTGTAAGCGTGCGACATCTGATTTCCATCTCAAAATTATCTATTACTTGGTGAAATGGAGTATGGATAATTATAGGTTTGAATCTCTTCTAGTAGTTCTGAGAAGAAAGCAGTTGAAAAACTAGCATCACTGTTATTACTCATCTAGGAGTAAAGAACTAGGTTATCATTAAACTTACGACCCATCTCTTGCCTTGTTCTTTATTCGTCTGATAGTACGAGCTATGCTTTTCATTAGGATTCCCATTGGGCTCTCAATATCGGCATCTGACAAAAGACCATAGTTATCCTGTTTTACTACGCTACTGCCTGTGTCAGCATTTGCGGCAGACTCTAGACTTTTTTTAATAGTCAGGCCTCTTAATACAGGCAACTTTCCACTTCCTGCATTCTCTTCTCTATCTAGACGGTCTTTCTGACGACTCTCAAACGACGCCCCGTCATCTCTAATCCTACGTATATTCAGTCGCTCTTTTTTGTAGCGTCTTCTGTATTGCTGCTTCATCTCTCTAAGGTCAACTTTCTTCTGAAACGTTCTGGATGCTTCAGACTGCGGCTCAGTAATGAATGCGTTTTCTGATGCAACGGTATCTGCGATTGCGCTCGGTGGCACTGTAAAGAAAAGCATTCCTTTTTGACCGCACCGTTTTCATTACAGTAATTTTTCTCAGTTCGTGCAGATTAATGATTTTTTGAGCAAAACGTTTACCTTTCTGACTGTCTCTTCCATCTTTTGCTTTTTTTGAAACTTCAATAGCATTCATAACGCATTGAGCATGTTTATTGAGTGATGTAGCATGTTTGGAACATTTTGTATAGGTGTGCCTCTCAGTCGGTGGTAATTGTGGAATGCTTAAATAAATCTGATAACACCCCTTAAGTTCTTTTTTGCCGTGAAATGTTTCAAAAGATTAAACTGATTTATTGCATTTGATCTTTTCATCTTTCTTTCCCATTTATTTGCTCTATTCCCCCATTTATATTTACCATATGGGACTTAAATTACATTTTTTAGCTATAACATTTGCAGCACAAAAAAAAAAGTTATGACTTACCTCTTAGATGCAAATGCAGACAGAAAACTACTGTAAGCTTGGAACATCCAGTGTTCTATAAGGTCAATATGGGCTTTATTCGACAGTGGAATGCTAATTTTTTTCCCATCGTAATATTTGGCTCCTGGCATGGTTTCTCTAGTCATTGAGCTTTCTGCTTCGATGAAAAGCAAGAAACCGACAGAATACTTGAATAGATGTATAAATATCATCAAGTTTCTGTAAATGCAAGCTTGAAAACAGTTGTTAGTTGCATACAGCGGGCGACTGTTGCAGATGTTTACTTAAATGCAATAGATATTGTTTAAATAACTTATCAGGATAGACGGCTTGATGATTGAGTTAGTTGGAAATTTTACTGCATCTTTTTCTTCAATACTGTTCTTTAAAAGCTTTTAATTTATCGATTTTTTCAATAAAATAAATCTGATAGATTTAAAAAGATTTTTGCAAAATTTTAGACAAGTTTTTAAGAGATTATAAGTTTTGAAAAATCGCTAGTTTTACAGAAAGAGATGCAGTAAAATTATTGGTCTGATTTCAGCAGGTGACAACAACGATGGGTTTTTAAGTAATGAAACAAGGTTTACAAGTTTAGCAACAATAAAAATGCAGGATGCGGCAGTTGAATTAAGATGGTTAAAGTTTATAGAAATAATTTAGGGAACCTGTAAATATATAGGAAAACTACGACTGACTTCGGGTAATGGGAGTGAACCTTGTTTATTGATACTGTTATTAGGGTTAGTGGTTCAAGAAAGGAGGGGAACAAGTAATTTTGATACGCAACGCACTTTCGGAGGCTTTTTTTCTGCTTTGTTTTTTTTATCATTTCATCATTATTTGCCTTTTTTTTGAGACTTTAACCTGCCAGAATGCAGTGATTTTCGGTTTATTGATAGTATTAAAAAAACCACAAAACTGTTTTTTAAAGTATTTTAATTAAGGTTCTGATTCAGACATTTCAGTAAAAAGCTTACAATAGTTTCTGAAGGTCTGATTCTGTGGCTTTGAAACGGATTTTTTTTACAGTTTTGAAGCTTATAAGATGTTATTCACTTTTTTCATATCATCATTTTGATGTTGGCATTTATTATCTGGCAGAAAAGGCAGAAAAAGGTGTTGGTAGGTCGACTGTTTTTTATGGACTGGTGACTTGGTGCCTACTTGTCCTAAACCAGATTTAAATCTTGGAAGAAACAGCAAGGAAGGGAAAGATAATAAAAAGAAAAAACAAAGAATTTGTACTGATTTTTGGTTTAACCGCATCTGTAGAAAAATGTCAATTCATGACTTGAAGAGATTGTGGCTTAATGATAACTAAAGACAGTCCAGTCGACCAAGGAGGGAGAAATAAAAACAGTAGCTTGCGTTCTGTGATATCCATCTTTACTCTTTGGTTTTCTTTGACAGTCAGAAACCTTCCAGATTAGAGCGATAGATTTGCGTTTGATCGTTTCCAGCTTTAGCGACACTATTAATTGTTTTTAGGTATGATATCAAGAAAAGCTTTCTCATCTGTATTGAATAATTCGACCCTGTTTTTTTGTAGAGCTAAACTTAACACCAACAACTGTCATTAATTTCGTTAAATCTAATCAAAGATTAAACTTTCCATGTCGCACAACGATTATATTATCAAAAATTGTTGCAGAGCGGTTTAATAATACAGCAAACGCTTTAATCACGTAAGTTATGATGAACGTGAAATAGCTGTAAATATTTGAAAAGGGAAATATTTGAAAAGGGGTTTTTGATACAATTATTAATTAAAGAACTGGAAATTTGCAGAGCTGAATTTAGCTTTGTTCGAGTAATTCTTAATTTAATCGTACTGAATTATTTTAACACGTTTTTTTCTTGATTAATGTTCGAGCATTTTGAAACAGATATCAGTGGTATCAATTTCCAAAGCGCTATGCCATACAACTGACTTCACTTGTCGTGCATAGCAAATGGGGTGTAAAAGTTACTCAGAATTTGCATAACAACGGTTTTT